GCCCGAAAACTCCAAGAACTACCTCCTCGGCATCTTTGTGCCGAGCGGCGTCGCGCTCCTTGCGATTCTCTACAAGGTCTTTCTCCGCAAGTAGAAGATCGTCATGCGTAGAAGACGAGGCGGGCAATCTGCCTCAATGGTGTAGTGTGTATCGTAACAATCAATTTGACTCTTGAAGACTCGATTCAACCATCTCACGCCTTGGGCCCAACTCGACACTACAAGTGTCGTAAGCTTAGTACGGTAGGTAGTACATAGTGTAGTACAAATACGACTACACACGCAGTCATACACTGTAGTGTTGAACATGTATTGGCATGTGGGTCCCAAAACCACCGGTTTACGTTTGTTGGCGCCCACGCATCAGAGCGTAGCCGCTCGTTGTTCATTTTTCGGCTTTCGCCTATACCTGAAACGTCCATAGGTCTACGAGAGTAGTGAGAAAACACAAAACTCCAGTGACGGTTTGACTGTAGGCCAGCGCAAGAGCAGCGAGCGCAAGAGCGCAGGCCCGAAATGATGCTCGATTAAGTGCGGTGTGAAATGGCAAAAAACACCAGCGATGAAAAAACACATTTTTCTCGCACCCACACCTGGTGTAATGAGCGCCTGGGTGGCTGGCCAATCGATGCACAGACGCTGGACCCCGAGCGTGAGAAAACGAGTTGGTGAAATTGGGTGTTCCAGGAAATCTTGCCACATCCTTCTCCAAAGAACGCAACTTGGTGACGTCGTGCTTCCAAGTGTTTCCGAGGTCCGAGGTTGCGCGCCTTTTCCTCACGAGCACCTTTGGTCAATGCGAGTCTTTGTCCACGCATGATGTGGACACTTTCACCACATAGCGCTACTATACTAGTACGGGCGATAACGATGCAGCTTACTAGGACTTATAGCGTCCTCGTCGACGTCAGCGATTCGTTTTCAACGCCACATTCTTGAAGCACCCGTGGACGGCACGCCATCGTTGAAGGTAAATAGATAGGCTACTCTGGGTCCTTTTTATATGTGTGAAAACGTTCGCGCGCCTCAAGTGCGACCCATATCGCATACTATAGTCCTCATATATATTTCCGCGCCACCCGCCGCGTTTCAAATGCGCGAACTCCAAACACGTGAGCCAGAAAAAAGGCCCTTCCATGTGGTAGGCCCAACTCAATCTGATTACCAAAATGGACGGCGTCGGTACCGGGTACCACGGACGGTGCACGCAGACGCCTGCGGCCTGTATCAGCCCCGCGTGAGAAGACGAACAAGTCTTCATTCTGCAATTTGCTACCTCCAGCATGGACCGCACCAGCAATGCGCTCATGGAGCGCGTCTCGTACGTTCACTCGATCGACAAGGACACGAAGAACGCTGCCGACTACGACGACATGAAGACGCCCGGTGAGATGGAGGGTGGTGCGCTCCGTGAAGGCGATGCCCCGGTGTACACGTCGCCCGAGATCCTCGCTATTCTCTACCAGTACGCGATGATCGGCATCGTCTACGGCGGTGTCCCCGCCATGAAGTTTCCCATCCTCGCGTCCTACTTCCAGCTCGAAACCAACGTCTTGAGCTCCGCGTCCGCGCTCATGACGCTCGGTTGGACCATCAAGGTCTTCTTTGGCATGTTCAACGACTGCTTCCCGATCTTTGGCTACTCGCGCAAGCCGTACATGTTTATCGGCTGGACGCTGTGTGCTGCGATTCTCGTCTACATTGCGTGCAAGCCGGCGGGCGACCCGGGCTCGAGCTCGGATGGCTCGCAGCTTGCGCTTCTCTGTACGATTGTGGGCTTTTGCTACGTCATGGCCGACGTCGCGCAGGACGGTTTGATGCTCTCGTACGCGCAGCGCGAGCCGATCGCGATCCGCGGCCGCTTGCAGTCAATGATTTACGCGACGCGGTCCGTCTTTATGGCCATCATCTATCTCATTTGCGGTCTCTGCCTCAACTCGAAGGAGTTTTCTGGTGATTTTGACTGGGACATTGGTATCAACGGGTACTTCTGGATCTTGGCCGTCCCGTCGATCATCAACGTGCCGGTGGTTTGGTTCTTTGTCAAGGACGCCAAGCGTGAGCGCGTTCCCGTGGGCATTTACTTTTCCAACTTTTGGGAGCTTGTCCAGCACCGCGCCGTGTGGCAAGTGCTCTGCTTCAACTTTCTCTTTTCGCTTTTCACGGGCAACATCACGTCGACGGCGACGTACTACGTGTCGCTCAACTGGGCCGGCGTCGAGAACCTCAACAACCAAATCATGGGCGTCGTCGGTCAAGCCGTGTTTGCGGTGGTCTTGATTCTCACGGGCACGTATGGTACGCACTGGAACTGGCGCTACGTGCTCGTCATTACGATCTTGTGCGCGAACGCGATCGACTCGGTCTGCCAGTTTTGCACCGTCTACGATGTGGTGCGCAACCAGTGGTTCTACCTTGGTGTCCCGATCATGGAGAACATCCCGTCCGGTATCAACTTTGTCATTGGTACGTACGTCATTGTCGAGCTCGCCGAAGTCGGCAACGAAGGCGTCATGTACGGGCTTTTGACCACGGTGTCGAACCTCCCGGGCACCTTTGGCACGATGATTACCAACATCATTGACGGCTCGCTCGACTACAACAAGAAGCTCATCAAGGCCGACTCGGACGAGACGCGCAACCAAGTCGCGTACTCGTACATTATCTCGTACTCCTTCGCGGTCATTGGTTGCTGCTGGGTCGTGTTGCTTCCGCCGCAGAAGGCGGCTGTCGCCGAGCTCAAGAAGAACGGCGGCCGCCAGCCCCTCATTGCCGGCATCATTTTCTACGCGCTTTTTGTGATTCTGTGCTGCTCGATCACGGGGACGCTCATGTCCATGTACGACGAGACGAGCTGTGCGCGCCTTGCCGGTGGTACGGGTTGCCCGCCCGAAAACTCCAAGAACTACCTCCTCGGCATCTTTGTGCCGAGCGGCGTCGCGCTCCTTGCGATTCTCTACAAGGTCTTTCTCCGCAAGTAGA